AGTCCCACATCAGGCTCCCTGTATGGAGCCTGCTTCTCCCTCCGCCTGTGTTTCTGCCTCTCTCTCTGCCTCTCAAGAATAAATAAATAAAATCTTAAAAAAAAAAAGATTTATTTATTTATTTGATAGAGAGAGAAAGAGAGAAAGAGTACAATGGAGAGCAGAGAGGGGATGAGAGGGAGGGGGAAAGAATCTCAAGCAGACTCTAAATTTGGGACTAGATCCCACCATCCTGAGATCATGACTTGAACTGAAATCAAGAGTCTCATTCTCAACCCTGAACCACCTAGGCAAGCTTTAGCTTTCTATTTATCCTAGAGAAAGAGAGGAAGGAAACTATGTGTTTAGATAAATTAGCTTCCAAATAAATTTGTTTTACGGGAGTGGATGGTTAAGTGTCTAACTTCAGCTCAGTTCATAATCTCCAGGTCTTGGGGTCAAGCCCCAGGTAGGGCTCCCCACTTGGTGGGGAGTAGGCTTATTCCTCTCCTTTTCCCTCTGTTCCTCCCCCAACTCATGCACATGCTCTCACTCTCTCTCAAATAAATAAAACCTTTAAAAATATATATCAAATAATTTGTTTACAACTTCCTTTCCTATGTTCAGGATCCATTTGGCAAAAGGCAGAGTCCTCAGAATTTCCACAGTGCAGATCTATGACTTGGAACTCATAAGTGGGCTCTGTAGTTAAGTGAATTCAAACTGTAAGAGCATTTTTGACAGATAGCCTGGCAGCTTGATCTAGTAAACACAGCAATGGCTTGGAAGTCAAGTTATTTCAGCTCCAGTCCTCACCTGCCAATAATTAGTGTAGTGACCATAGACAGGGTTATTTACATGTGTGTGCCTCAGTTTACTAGTCTGTAAAACTGGTAAAATTAGTAGCTACTTCATAGGTAAAATCACCTATCTTAGTGGTAGGTTCTCAAAAGATGGTGGATATAGGTAGAGGGTTAAATCAAATAATGTGTTCCGGCTCTTAAGTTTGTCAATATCCACTACCTCATTTGTTAAACTTAAGAATATATATGTCTTCCTTATTGTGATTAAAGATTTCAAAAAAAATATTAAATATTATTTCTTGAGGGGAGGGGCAAGATGGCGGAAGAGCAGGGTCCGCAAATCGCCTGTCCCCACCAAATTACCTAGATAACCTTCAAACCATCCTGAAAATCTACGAATTTGGCCTGAGATGTAAAGAGAGACCAGCTGGAATGCTACAGTGAGAAGAGTCCGCGCTTCTATCAAGGTAGGAAGACGGAGAAAAAGAAATAAAGACACAAAAGGCCTCCGAGGGGGAGGGGCCCTGCGAGGAGCCGGGCTGAGGCCGGGGCGAGTGTCCCCAGGACAGGAGAGCCCCGTCCCGGAGGAGCAGGAGCTGCACCAACCTTCCCGGGCGGAAAGGGGCTCGCAGGGAGTTGGAGCAGGACCCAGGAGGGCGGGGATGCCCTCGGGCTCCCGGGGACACTAACAGACACCTGCGCCCCGGGAGAGTGCGCCGAGCTCCCTAAGGGCTGCAGCGCGCACGGCGGGACCGGAGCAGCTCGGAGGGGCTCGGGAGCGGCTCCAGGGAGGGAGCTGCAGGGCGGGAGCGCGAATCCCACAGCGCAGGCCCCGGAGCACAGGGCGCCGGGACACAGCCCAGGATCCGGCCTCCCCTGGGACAGGCAGAGGCCGGGAGGGCCCAGGACAGCGAGGACGCTCCTGCCCGAGCTGAGCAGATCAGCGGCCCCGCCCCGGAGCCTCCAGGCCCTGCGGACGGAGAGCCGAGAGCCCCGAGCCCCGTAGTTCCTGCGGAGGCTGAATCCAGGCTTCCAGAGTTGCCATAGCAACTGCGGCTGATCCTCCTGGGGCCCCACGGGGTAAACAACCCCCGCTGAGCCCGGCAGCAGGCAGGGGCAGAGCAGCTCCCTCAAGTGCTAACATCTGAAAATCAGCACAGCAGGCCCCTCCCCCAGAAGACCAGCTGGACGGACCAGTGATACTCCCCGTGTTCCAATACAACTTGTTTTTGGCCACTCTGCACTGAGCAAAATGACTAGAAGGAAAACCTCACCTCAAAAGAAAGAATCAGAAACAGCCCTCTCTCCCACAGAGTTACAAAATCTGGATTACGCTTCAATGTCAGAAAGCCAGTTCAGAAGCACTATTCTACAGCTACTGGTGGCTCTAGAAAAAAGCATTAAGGACTCACGAGACTTCATGACTGCAGAATTTAGATCCAATCAGGCAGAAATTAAAAATCAATTGAATGAGATGCAATCCAAACTAGAAGTCCTAACGACGAGGGTTAACGAGGTGGAAGAACGAGTGAGTGACATAGAAGACAAGTTAATGGCAAAGAGGGAAACTGAGGAAAAAAGAGACAATCAATTAAGGGACCATGAAGACAGATTAAGGCAAATAAATGACAGTCTAAGGAAGAAAAACCTACGTTTAATTGGGGTTCCCGAGGGCGCCGAAAGGGCCAGAGGGCCAGAATATGTATTTGAACAAATCCTAGCTGAAAACTTCCCCAATCTGGGAAGGGAAACAGGCATTCAGATCCAGGAAATAGAGAGATCCCCCCTAAAATCAATAAAAACCGTTCAACACCTCGACATTTAATAGTGAAGCTTGCAAATTCCAAAGATAAAGAGAAGATCCTTAAAGCAGCAAGAGACAAGAAGTCCCTGACTTTCATGGGGAGGAATATTAGGGTAACAGCAGACCTCTCCACAGAGACGTGGCAGGCCAGAAAGGGCTGGCAGGATATATTCAGGGTCCTAAATGAGAAGAACATGCAACCAAGAATACTTTATCCAGCAAGGCTCTCATTCAAAATGGAAGGAGAGATAAAGAGCTTCCAAGACAGGCAGGAACTGAAAGAATATGTGACCTCCAAACCAGCTCTGCAAGAAATTTTAAGGGGGACTCTTAAAACTCCCCTTTAAGAAGAAGTTCAGTGGAACAATCCACAAAAACAAGGACTAAATAGATATCATGATGACACTAAACTCATATCTGTCAATAGTAACTCTGAACGTGAATGGGCTTAATGACCCCATCAAAAGGCGCAGGGTTTCAGACTGGATAAAAAAGCAGGACCCATCTATTTGCTGTCTACAAGAGACTCATTTTAGACAGAAGGACACCTACAACCTGAAAATAAAAGGTTGGAGAACCATTTGCCATTCAAATGGGTCTCAAAATATACCCTAAAAACTATAGAACACTTCTGAAAGAAATTGAGGAAGACACAAAGAGATGGAAAAATATTCCATGCTCATGGATTGGCAGAATTAATATTGTGAAAATGTCAATGTTACCCAGGGCAATTTACACGTATAATGCAATCCCTATCAAAATACCATGGACTTTCTTCAGAGACTTAGAACAAATTATTTTAAGATTTGTGTGGAATCAGAAAAGACCCCAAACAGCCAGGGGAATTTTAAAAAAGAAAACCATATCTGGGGGCATCACAATGCCAGATTTCAGGTTGTACTACAAAGCTGTGTTCATCAAGACAGTGTGGTACTGGCACAAAAACAGACATATAGATCAATGGAACAGAACAGAGAACCCAGAAGTGGACCCTGAACTTTATGGTCAACTAATATACGATAAAGGAGGAAAGACGATCCACTGGAAGAAAGACAGTCTCTTCAATAAATGGTGCTGGGAAAATTGGACATCCACATGCAGAAGAATGAAACTGGACCACTCTCTTGCACCATACACAAAGATAAACTCAAAATAGATGAAAGATCTAAATGTGAGACAAGATTCCATCAAAATCCCAGAGGAGAACTCAGGCAACACCCTTTTTGAACTTGGCCACAGTAACCGGAGAAGGACAAACAGTGTATGTTCTCATTCATTTGGGGAATATGAATAATAGTGAAAGGGAATATAAGGGAAGGGAGAAGAAATGTGTGAGAAATATCAGAAAGGGAGTCAGAACATAAAGACTTCTAACTCTGGGAAATGAACTAGGGGTGGTGGAGGGGGAGGAGGGTGGGGGGTGGGGGTGAATGGGTGACGGGCACTGAGGGGTACACTTGACGGGATGAGCACTGGGTGTTATTCTGTATGTTGGTAAATTGAACACCAATAAAATTAATTTAAAAAAATAAAACAGAACTTTGTCAACAACAATAAATAAATAAATAAATAAATAAATAAATAAATAAATATTATTTCTTAAAGAAATCAAAGCAATTGTATTTTACAGTATGTTGTTCAGTATGTTAGAGCATGTCATTGTTCAGAACCCTTTGAGATTCTGACATGCATTTAGAGTCTTCCCCTCTTCTCCAGTCACCACCAACCACTGAAATATCTGTCTAAATATAACTAACTTCCAATGTTAATAGTAGGGATAAAGACCTAGTGCATCGAAAGTCATTGTGGACCAGGTTATTGTCAGGGTATTTGGGATAAGCCATGACCATAGTTCTAGTTCATTTCCCCTTTTCCAAAGGAGAACAAATTTCTCTCTGGATTTATTTGTTTGTTTGTTTGTTTATTCATTTATTTTTGTCTCTGGATTTAAAGACAATCTTCTCATAGTACATGTGTGTGAAAAAAAGGGAGTTTTTTGTTTGTTGTTTTTTCTATTGTGATTTTGTTTCCCTGTGGTTTTTTTTTTAAGATTTTTTATTTATTTATTCATGAGAGACACAGAGAGAGAGGCAGAGACATAGGCAGAGGGAGAAGTAGGCTCCATGCAGGGAGCCCGATGTGAGACTCGATCCTGGGTCTTCAGGATCATGCCCTGGGCGGAAGGCAGCGCTAAACCGCTGAGCTACCCTGCCCATGTTTCCCTGTTTCGTAATTAGCAGTCTGTAAGTGTTTACTCAGCCTCGTGTCAGATTAAATTTGTGGCAGTCTGGAATTCAACCTCAGATCAAGGTTCTCCTCTGTTGCTGAGACACTACAGAATTAACTCCAGTGGGAAAATACTATTATGAAGCTCCCTTACCCTGGGTCTTTGATAAAATATTGAAGTAGTGGACACTCAGGGACTCAGACTTTAGTGTAGATACTTCAAACAAAATTATGGAGCCTCCAAGTCAGAATTTGAAGACAACACCATTATTATCTCTAAGAAGATTTCACATTTCTGAAGATTATGGCTTTCTTCTTCCAAATCCTCTGGTAAGTATAGAGCCTTGGACCAGGGCACAATAGGTTTCTCAAGATGCTGATTTGTTGGTTCCTTTGTTTGCTTAATTTATGTGGTTGTCAGGGGACAGGTAATATAAATACCTGGGAAAGATGCTACGAATAACTCAAAGTGTAATTATGAACAAAAGGAAAGTGACAGCCACAGCACTCAAACAGAATGTTTTAACACCAGTTGTTTTTAATAGATTGTCAATTAGTCCAGTAAACATATGAGCAAATCTGTAGTTACCAAGGAAAAGACAGAACTTAGAGATCAATTAAGGGAGTAAATCAGTTTATCGGGGCTTACTAGTAGGAGAGCAAAAAGCTCATAGAAGGCCATCAGTACTTTGGGCCTTGGTGGGAAGAATCAAATATTCACAGACATTGCTGAGAAGAAGAAGTAACCCTTGAGAACTAACGATACCTATTTCTTAACTCTCCTAAAGAAATATACAACCTGTAATACAATTGTTTCATCACTTAACTTTTACCAACACTGTTTACTCTCTGAATGTGGTCCAAAGCCAAGATGTTAAGACTGTAAGAGGCTTTAGAAACCATCTGATCCAGGGCAGCCCAGGGGGCTCAGCGGTTTAGCGCTCCCTTCAGTCCAGGGTGTGATCCTCGAGTCCCAGGATCGAGTCCCATGTTGGGCTCCCTGCATGGAGCTTACTTCTCCCTCTGCTTGTGTCTCTGCCTCTCTCTATATTTGTCTGTGTCTCTCATGAGTAAATAAATATAAATCTTTAAAAAAAAGAGAAGAAAGAAAGAAAGAAAGAAAGAAAGAAAGAAAGAAAGAAAGAAAGAATCTGATCCCAACTTCCTGCTTTTGAATTTAGGGTAGCTGAGGCCCAGAGAAGCAACTTGCCAAAGCCATATGAGTGTCAAAAGTAGAACTAGTACTCAGGACTCTCAACATCTTTTTTTCTACTACATCACATAGATAACGGCCAAAACTATTTGGTTGAGAATCTAGAGGTCCAATATTGTAGTTACTGCAATAGCTTAATAGATCCAATTGCTCCCCCCACAATAAGCCTAATTTGTCATTTAAATATGATTAAAGAATGGTCTAGAATTCAATGAGCTTTTATTGAATACCCACTGTAATGCTTATTTACTTTCAATTGTTGTTTGGGGAATACAGATGAAGACATAATCTATTCATTGGTCCCAAAAGCTGTCTGTTAAGCTGTTAGTTGAGGGAACAAGCCACAGATCTGCAAGTAACTTGAACATTAGAAGTAATGATTTCAGGGTGTTATGGAGAGTAGGGTTGTAGCCCTGAGCACAGAATGAATTCTCTTACCGCTGGTAGGGTGCCCAAGAATTTGCATTTGCAAGGACTTACAGGGTTCCCAAATTATGGGTCTTTCAGGGCTAAAGCAGGAAAGTCCTGGGTAAATCAGAATGTGTCAGTCATCCTGACTTGCACTTACTAACTCTTGTAACCCTGTGTGAATCACAAGCACTGACCCTCAGTTTTCACACAGAGTGGATGCAGATCTAGTGCCACTCCCACTGGACTGCTGTGGAATGAAGCCCTTTAATAAATTTAGTGCAAGACTAGAAACAGTTCTCCTGACCCTCAGTCCAATGTTCATTAAAAACTCCATTCTGAGTGGAAAACTTGATTTGGGAATATTCCTATCATCCCTGGTTCACAGGCAAGAAAAGACCAATAAGCTAACACTTACTGAGATTAAATATGTACACTAAGCAGAGGAAAAATAATAGTATAAAGTATGTAACTTTATAGCACCATGATCATCGACTTTTCCTCTGTTTCCTCGTTGATAAATAAGAAAACTAGATGAGAAACAATAACAGGTAGCAAGTGCTCATAATGTCCTGAGCCAGATCATGTCTGTCTTGTGATTTGGCTAATGGATGCCCCCTGACAAGAAATTTCCATTCCTAAGTTCATGTAAAAAGTTCCCTGGCAAACCGGGCCTACTTTATTAGAGTAGTCATACGCCAGATTACTGGAAATGTAATTCTGTGTTTCACTTTTAGTTTCCTTTGATTTCTGTGAAAATTTTAAACTTCCCTATTTCTAGCACATGATGAGAGAAGGAAGTTTTCATCAGAATCTGCCCCCAGGTTGCTCCATCCCTTAGGAGGGATTTGGTCACCAGAGGTACCAGGCAGCAGTGGTGTTGAAACTGATTAGGAAATATCTGTCACTGACTTTGCTAAGTGTACAAATAGGTTTTGCTTTCCTTTTAGTTTAAAGGCAAATGATCAGAGAGCTGTTCCATCATGTCAACTGGCCCAAAGTTACTCTTTCAGCGAGCTTAGATGCTTACTATGAATATTTACTTTGAAGTTTGTCTGAATAAAACAGTCAAGCTAATGAACAAGTAAATATTAGGGCTTTAGGGGAGGGGGCTTATTTGTTTTTAAATACTGTACCCCACGGTTTCTATCCACTCTCAAACATTTCCAGGGGATAGCGTTTCAGTGTGGAAAACGTATACCTGCAGACTCCTGTCCATAAACATGCCACAAAAATTCTTTCCCAGATCATGTGTCCTGTGCATGTGTATGTGTGTTTGGGTGGATGTGGGGGGCGGGGAGTAATTTTTCTTCAGACTTAAAGAATACAAGGAAATCAGCTTGGCAGGAAAGGAGGGGCCCAGGGCAGATTATAGCTGTAGATTAGATCAGTATGGAACAGAGATCTCCAATTTTAGGCTCAAGAATTTGGATTTCACAAATATGGCAAATGACATAATGAAACTGGCATTTGAATTTTTTTCTAGTAGAATGTTAAGTGTGTTGTGCCCAAGATTGCGAATCTGAGAAACCACCAAGGAGCCCACACCGATGCAAACACAGGAGGGTTTATTTACAAGCTCGAGCTTGGGTCCAAGTGTACCCGACACAGCTGAGCAGAGACTTGGACCCTTGGACCCCGAGGTGGGTTCCAGCTTAGTTTTAAGGGCTGGTCTAGGGGACCTCCAGAAGGGGTGGAGGAATTTCTCAAGTTCTGTTTACATTCTGATATGGGGCTTTCAAGGGCATTGAGCTCTGTTCTTATTCTAATATGGGGCTTCCTGCCCTTGGCTGGGGCTCTGTTCTTATTCTAATATGGGGCTTTCTAGAACTGTTTTTTTCCTGTAACTGAAGTAATGTAAATTTCAGCCCTTATTCACGGGGGCCTGGGATGGCTGTACTTGTGCTAACGCAGATCTTAAAGTGGAATGGCCTTAATTTTCTCCACAAAGTGCAGGGTGGGTGAGAGCACCAGTTCCTCGACTGAACACCAAAATCACTGGAGGAGCTTTAAAAAATACTGATATCAGAGCCCCAACCCAACAGTTAATTTGGAATCTCTAGCCTAAATGACTCAGTACTTGAAAGGCACAGAATGCATCGAGGACGGTGCAGGTCCAGGTGAGAGATGAGGGTCTACACTTGAGAGACTGGCTATAGTGATAAAGGTGTTGTGGCTTGAGTAGAGCTTGGAAGTAATTTAAATACAAAAACAAAGGATCCTTTTATGAACATAAACTTCTCATAAACTATTTCCTTTGATCTACATGGGCAGGAAAAATGCTTAATTCCTTTCTTTTTCTTTCTTTCTTTCTCTTTCTTTCTTTCTTTCTTTCTTTCTTTTCTTTCTTCTTTCTTTCTTTCTTCTTATTACTTTCTCTTTTAAACAGTTCCAAACTAAAGAATTAGCTCCCAGGCATCATCCAGAAATGACTTATAAATGAAGAAGAAATTATGAGATTAGAATATCACCATCTCTCAGAATGTACCAAATGCAAGGTATAGCTACTACAGAAAAGGCAACCAACAGCCCCCCTTCATTACTCACTCCTGCTCCAAGTACTTCTTGAGAGCCAGCTGGCACTGTGGTGGATGCTGGTGGCATGTGAGAGAAGTGAAGTGTTGCTCCGGCAATTCTGGTCTACTGGGGGTGCTGCTCTAATGGGGCAGGCAGGATGATCAGGGAAATCAGAGTATGCAAGATAATTACCATTAGGGGAAACCTCCTGATCAGAGAAAAGCTTTGCTGAGTCCAGCCTGAAGGAAGCCTCAGGGGGAAAGAATGGGAGCAGACAAGGAATTCTGAGCTGAGGTCAGTTGTAAGTCTGGTGTTGTCCCTGACTCCAATTGTCTTTGGAAAGTGGGCTGTGCTGTAGGTGTCAGAGGAGGGGGAAAATGTGATCTGACCAGTTCTTGTTAAGCAGGTTCTGAAGGGGGTTATGGGGAGGGCATATTTCAAGGGCAAAGTCTGTCAGGTGACAGATATTGAAGAGGCAGTGACAGCCTGGAGATAAACGCACCAGCAGGAATGAAAAGGAGGCAGGAGCATAATGCCTCTCATCTGGAATGGGGGGAGGGTGCTCTTTATCAAAAGGATTCTATTGCTGAACGGGTATTTAGCTGAAGGAAGAGCACTATGATGCCCAAGGGTCTACAGGATGACCTGTAGGCAATAGTAGAAGGGACTAAAGCTGTTCTGAAGAAGAGAAAGTTTAAGGGTGGTTGGGAGGACAGGAGTGATCCTGTTGCACACCAGAAGTGACAGGAACAGCTTCCTAGAGAAGACAGAACTTGAACAAGTTCGCAGGGTTAATTGGTAGGTTTGGATAGACAGAAGGAACTCCTTGACATGATCATCTTACCTGAACATAGTTTTAATATTCTTGCATTTGGTTTGTCATATTTCATTTTCTTCTGAGATTGTTTTGGTAGCATTACTTACCATTTATTTGGTTTTTTTCTTAGTTTAATTTTGATCAATATATATTGAACATATTTTACGTGCCAAAAAAAATATATCACCATCTTATCAAACCCAGTGAAACAATGAATGGAGGAAAGAATCATCAATGGCTGCTCACAACCAGACATTATGCATCTCCTAATAGAAGTACATGTTCCTCACTGCCTATGAACTATTCCTGCCAAAAATTCCAGTGTGGTTGGCAGTGCTTCTGATGGCTCCATGTTTTCAAAGATGACATTTGTCC